TTTGTTTCTGGTCCGACAACGGGGGAGAGAATATGGGCCAATTTTATAATTGGCTCATGCGAAACAACAGTTAGTATCTCTATCTTGGGTACGGCGGCACTGCGTTCCACCTTACCCAAGATAACGATTTGACACTTTACGAAACCAGTAACGTATATTTTACAACACAACCATAACACCAACTTAACCTTAAATATTTACAAAACCGTCTGACACATAAACGACTTCACTAACGACATCACTAACGACTTCACTAACGAATTCACTACCGTCCTCACTAAATAAAAAATAACCCTATTTTTATTTTTTTTAATTTTTTATTTCATTACAAAGACATGTCTGACTACATTTACTATGACTCTTTCCCGGAACGTTTCCGTGAACTATTCAAAACTCAAGTAAAACTGAGAAACATGCATTTTAACAAAGACAGACCCATTGACGATGAAAGAAACCCTGAATATATTACAATCCCTTATGACGCAAAGTTCATTGCATACATTCCTTATGGTCGCAGAGGAACGAAAACTATTTCAACAAAGAACAAAAATTATTTCTGGAGCGATGAAGAAAATTGCCTTATCTACATAAATGCATACTTAAATAAAGCTACATATTGTACAAAAGAAGGTTGGACTGGATTTGAGCTCTACATATACGACGACGATGGAAACAGACGTTGTGTATACCCATACGATAATATGTACCATTGTTTTCATCAAGCATTAAACGAATACATAGTCAGTAAGGGTCTCATTCCTGCTGAGTAGAAATGTTATATTTTTGTTCTGTCATTTATAAAAAAATAAACTTAAAAATTAATGATATCACCACCCTCACACGTATGAAAACATAGCACAAAAATAAATTTAGGTGAAGTGGTGAGATCTCACCTCTTTTTTAACCTGTTTTTTCACCCTGTTGAATTCATTGCTTTATAACTCTCTTCCTTTCTCCAACTCTTCTAACTTCTTCTTAAGTTCAGCAATGTTGTCCTCATGAAGTTTAATCTTTCTCAAAATTCCTTCTTTATCTAATGGTTGCTTTATCTTTCTAAACTGAACTCTACCATCCTTCATAGTATGAATGTAAAAACCTTCTGGAATAGTTCCTGATTTAATGTATTCTACCAAAAACTTTTGTTTCATTGCTTCAGTGACTTTAGTCGTCATTTCAATCAAATAAAAATTTTAATATTAAATAAAAATAACGTTATTTTTTTCAGTAAGGAAACGCAGGAGTTTTACGATTTATTTGAGGAGTAGGTTCTGGTTTAAATGTTGGAGTCGGTTTAGGAGTTGACTTTTGAACAGGAGTTTGTACTTCCATAGGTTCAGGAGTCATTGAAGGTGTTGTTTGTGAAGGTGTTGGAGTTTGTTTAACTTCAGCTACTTCAGTATTATTTACAACATTTGCTTTATTTCTTTTCAACATCATAACTGCTCCTGCTGTAGCTAGCAAACCTAGTGGGAGACCATATCTTATATAAGGACTTGACCAAATGCTATTTTTGACAGGAGCTGGTGGAACACCTAACCTTGGTGAGACTGCACTTTGCCATTGTGCAGCTCGTAAGAAATATTCAATAGGTGCTCCATAATCGTTTGGTAAAGTTTGTTTCATAGATGGTGAAGGTTCACGAGAGCTTGATGAAGAACTCATTTATAAGCTTTAAAAATAAACGTTCATCCTTTATTCCTCACTGTCGTCCGTAGCTAAGTTATAGTCATCTAATCTTATTATGGGGATGCCATTAGCACGCACCTGAATGGCAAAGCAACAATCCCTCATAAATCCAATAAGTGGCTTTGGTACATTTTCAGTTGCTAGTTCAATAGGTCCTTTAACAGACAATTTGTATGTTATTGGAGCAGTAGATGTTTGACCTTGCTGGAAGCAAAAGTCCACTTCTGTTGGAAAACCACATAAGAAATGTGTGTTGTCATAGCTATCCCATTTATGTTCCACACTACCATCATCCACCAATGACCTCATAACATCTTCATTAAATCCTATCATATCATTGTTTGTATTGCAGGCGTTCGCAACCATTTCATAAAATACAGGTCCATATGATTTTTCAGGTTCTGCAGGCATATTTCCATAAGCTCCCATGGAAAGCTGAAGATATTTAAACTTAGGGTTCTCAAAATTAACATAATAGTTGTCTTTCTTTCTAAATAGTGCCCAAATACTTTTAACATTAATAGGCGTATAAGCTGCTGTAAATGTTGCACTTGAACTATCTGTATTCTTTGAGAATGAGCCGTCCATAGGAATCCAATCCATAACTTTAACAGGAAAACATAAAGCCTCGTTTGTATAATGTTCTACAAGTTCTGTATAAATGTTAGGGTCTAAAGAGAATGACTTTGGATGAATGAAACATTCATTAAAATCCATCTTTGTTCGAAATAGTTGCTGGGTTACAGTTGTAATAGTAACTGTTCCACTAGCTTCTACTGCCTTCGTTATCATAGTGAATGGTTCATTCCATGGAACAAATTTATTTGTCGGTGGATTTGAATCTGAAGCAAATGCAACTTTAAGAGTTGGATTGAAAGCAATGATATCATTTACAGATATAGATGTGCATTGTAAGGCGTCGCTACTGAACTTTACTTTAAGCTGAATGTTTCCTGCAAAAGCTGGAATAAATCGAATAGCTTCTAATGGAAGGAATCTTCTAACAGGAATTCTTAAACGAAGCTTAAAATCAAATGATTTTCCTGCTGTAATTGGACCACTAACAATTTGTCCTGTTCTGCATGTTCCCGAATGACTCCATACATCTTCATGTCGAGTCTTTGAGAAAACATCTACTTTCTTTATTTGTTCGGTAGTTTGTGAGTTTGAAGTTATATATGCTTCTTCTCTTGCGTTGTCTTGAGAATATACGATACGACCATTTGCAAGGATTTAATATCCAGCAACTGCATAGAAAGCGTCATCGAAACCAATCCAAAATCCTGGTGGGTTTGTTTTATTGGAACCTGAACCAATTTCTTTATCTACAATAAATTGACCTTCCATTTTATACGTAATGAATGTATTGTAAAGGTCCAACATATTTTCACCAGGAGGTGAGAGATTGAATGTTACCCATGTGTTATCTTTAGCAGTTCCAGGTTGTGATGGAATCTTTGCGTCAGAATATTTTCTATTAGTGTCCCCAATTTGAACTGCATTGTCTATGATATCGAAATATGAGCGAATCTGATGAATATGCTCTGCTGGAGTAAATTCGTTTAGCTGTTCGTTCTGCATGTATTTACTTCAGATAAAAATATCTATTTACTTCATTATTCTCACTCTTCTTCTTGGCATTCGTGGTGGAAGTTGTTTCTTGACATTTTCAATGAACTGTACATTCTCTTTTGTCTCAACTTCTTTCACTGGCAGGTCAGGGTTCTTTGACTCGGTTTGTTTTTCAATGAAATTCACGAACTTTGCAATAAGCTCTTTGTTCGTTATTGAAAGTACATCTGGCTTCTTTTCTTCTGGTTCTATTGACTTTTCAGTTTGAACAGAAGGTTTTATATGGGCTTCGTGGACTTCACCCTTGCCATACACCTTAATGTTGTCGCTTTCTGCATTCGCTAATGGAACCTTTCTTTTTCTTACGTATATTTTACCATCTTTACTCTGACTTACGTAATAGAAAGGATGTTGTATTCCTCTTGCGTCATTTAATATAATAGACTCTCGCTCTGATTTTGACAAGCTCATTTTACATCGGTTAAAGTTTTAATTTTGTTTTTTATCTGCAGTCAAATGACTCAGACAAGCCCTAAGGACAAGACCCAAGGGGTCATAGATGTTGAAGCATTGAAGAAAGAAATTCGTGAGCAAATTTTATCCGAACTGAAGGAACAAAAACAAGAACAAAAGCCAGAGAGACCAAAGAGAAAACTTAGTGAAAAACAACTTGCTGCATTAGCTGCTGGAAGACAAAAGAACCCACGTTTGCTGGCGAAGAAAGCTAGAGAAGAAGCTGAAGCAAAAGCTAAAGAAGCTGAAACAAAGAAAGAGTAAATGGTTTATTTTTATCCGAATTAAATGTATAGACAAATACCTTTATCTGTTGCGTTCAGTAGTGAAAACCCTGACGTCAAAATAAAGGGGAACAGAGTAACGTTTAAGTTTCCAACAGACTGGATTGTGAACATAAATGAAGAGAAGTACATTGGCATAACATCTATGTATATAACACGTGCTTTCAGAAAGGTTGACTTTATACTTCAAGTCGAGATAGAAAATGACGAACAGTCTTTAAGCGCCCAAAACATTCACATATACAAATACTTCAATGACAGTACGACGTTAGAAGACTGTATAATTACATTTTACGAAAATTTTCAAAAGAAGTTTAACATTGAAGTACAAACTTTACAGCCTTTACGTGATTTTCTTGCAGAACTGAAAGAAGAAGGAATTGTAGAAAGATTAATAGCTTTTCATTACGAGTTTGTAGCAAATGCTGATGGAACTCATGACTGTCAATTCATTGTATTCTCACCATTCAATGAAGTAGCTAAAAAGAAAAAAATCCATTACGTATAAGATTTCAAATCTCTGAACCAAGTGATGATTTCAAAAATGTTTTCAATTATGATGCAATGCTTCCGAGGAAAAATGAATTTTCCGAAATTAGATTTCCAGGTATTTGGGATAGAAAGCAAGCTATATTATATTCAAACTTAAGTAAGGGAGTTGAAAATGAGTTCATTGGTCATACAAGAACTTCACCACTTCCTAACCCTAAATACTATAAATTAACTGGCTTCAATCGTGAGTTTTGGATAGACATGTTCTCCACTCATGACCATAACTGCCCAGTGTTCTTACCTCCAGACCATAAGGACTGTCTCTACATTGAAGCACAACTCTTAAACTCTACCATCGCAGTATTGTAAAATCTACGCTAGTTTTATTTTTATCATGAATGGTCTCACTGCTGACAAAAATAAATGACCTCATTATTTTTCTCATTCATGTTCTCAGAACTTAAGCTTTCTTATGAATGAAGTCTTAGTCTGAATAGAAAAGTTAAACTTTTCAGCAAAGCAAGGACTAGAAGACTTACACAAGTCGAATGCAATCTCTTGACCGTCATAAAGTGCTTTATATAACTTCATAACACTGAACTCAGAGTCTTTGTCAAATTTTCCTTGCGGAACCATTAAACCTTTATCTTCATCATAGAAACACTGAACAGAGTCAGGAAACATTTCATTAGCGGTTAAAGCAATAACATCTTGCTTCACGCCTTTCATTCTGCAGTGAAATGCAACTTCATTTAAATCATTCGTGAGTAAGTCTATGTAAGTCTTCTTTCCACAAAATATTGACTTGTATGCTAAACTTTGTTTATCTTTTGTGATTTCTGCAAAGTCGCTATGAAATTGACCAAGGTTTTTACCAATGAGAACTCTTCCATAACGTTTCTCAAACTCTTCAGCTAAACGAGGGATATCTTCATTGTAGAGATGCATACTGTCCGTATCGCTATAAAAGATGTCCATTCCTAAGTCCTCAGCAGTACAGAATACTTCACACATTATTCTCTTCGACATAGACAGAATGTTAACACCAAGTGGACAGAAGTTAAAGTGTCTGCAAATGCTTTTCGTTAGCTTGAAAATAGTTTTATCTGAACCATCCAAACCTTCGAACTTCACTATATGGTTGTAGTTTCTGATGGCATATCTTATAGCATCTTTGTCATTTACTATGGTTATTTTTGACTCAATAGGAGAAAGAATAGTTTTGCCATAAATACTGTTCAGAATGAGCTTTATATTTTCTTGCAAAGGATTTCCTTCTTTCTTATACTTTAACCTTAACTCAGACAACTTCTTTACTTCATCTCTTATTCTAATATCTCTGTTTCCATCGTAATAGTATCCTTGCAACACTTCACATTTGACACCTTGATATTTTATGAGGTCTTGTAATGTTATATGGTCAACATACATTAAACAGCAAGTGTTTGAACTTCTGGGAACGTTAAGTTCTGGATTTAGTTCAGGGTCACAAACTATTAAAGGAAAGTGTCTATGTATTCCAATCTCTGTTATCTTAATGAGAACAAAGAAGCCAGACATAAACTTTTCATCAATGGGTTCCTTTTGGTCGTCATCGAATAAATGTCTCATGAGATACTCTGTGCTTAACATTTCTTTCTTCATAACCTTTGGAATACCTTCTAAAGTATAAAGTCTTGCTATAGCTGATGGATATAATGAAACAGCGTCGAAATCAGCAATGAGTTTCTTTTCGCTCTTTTGTTTAATGTTATCTGACAGCATACATCTTCCACCTTGAATACAGCGTGAAATAAATTCTCTTGGTTTATTTGAGAGGTCATATAAATTTCCATTCGGGAAGTACACTCTGTTCTCAAACAATTTGTTAGCAATTGAACAAATACTAACGTAGTCATAAACGTTTAAATCAAATTCTTTCAATATGTCATTGCGGAACTTAACAAAACCTTCTCTTAAAATTCTTACATCTTGTTTGCAATAAAATGTGCTATACTTTTCTAAGTCGAAGTGGTTCTCATCTATTCTGCAACCTTTGATGGAATCTATGTTTTTCATGAATGTATCTATCTAAACTTACATGCTTCAGAAATGACACCAGTTCTGTTGTCATTTGCTAACAAAACACTGCTGTAGTAGTTATATGGAAATACTTCTTTCGGTCCTGTTTGTAAGTTAAACATAGCAGGAAATAGTTTAAGCTTCTTATTTATAACACTGTAAGAGTCTTTTATAATAATTGCCCTTCCTTTATATAAGCCAGTTATTTGCATTGTTCGTGAACCTTTAATGATGGGAGTTCCTTTCACTTCTGTCATGTGTCTTAAGATGAAGTTTATATCATAACTGAGGTTATGGAAATATATTAAACTCTTGTCAGGAAGTCGTTCCAAAAATTCTGTTGCACAGTTCTGACCCAAATGCTTTCACTCACTGAACCATCTTCACTGTCATAACAGATGTTAAAAGCTTTATGAAAGCCATCGTACTGCACTCAAAGTCAGCAAAGAAAACGTGCTCAGGAATGAACTTGCACTTATTTTTATTTACTTCTTTTGACTCGGCTTTCTTCTTCAGTTGTACACAATACTTTGGAGCATATGTCAAGTCTTTAAATGGTGCAAGGTTCTGTTTATATAAGTCAGTCGTATATGTGAAAAGTTCTCCATAAGAAATAGGTTCGAAATATTTGCACTCCCACAATGTTTTCATAACATCCCATAACGGTGTTGTTCTATCATAACGAACTACATATTTATCTTCTCTCTTTGTATAAATCTTCATTTGTTTCTCAATGTTCATTCCACCACACTCCTTCAAGATTTCTATATAGTTGCGAATGAAATATGTTGTCATTGGTAATCTTTCATTTAGCATGTAGTGGTCTTCAACAAGAAGTAAGTCAATAGTTCGAACAGTTTCACATTCTTTTGGTATGTATCTCTTTATTTCATTATGTCTTGAGTCATTGAAATAACCAATGGTAACATTAAATGCTATACCTGTTGCGTCAGAAATTTCTTGTACTTTACTTTGAGGAAAGTCTCTAACACGAATGACTTCTCTCATGTGGTCAATAGTTTCTTCATTTACTCCAGCCTGAATGCAAGCATAAACGAAACAATTGTCTTCTGTCATAAGTGTTGCAGTTCTTTTGTTCAGTTCATTGAAGATTTGGTAGCGTTCAAGATTTATAGGTAATGTGCAAAGATACTTCCAGAACTGACCGCTTCTCTTCTTATAAAACTTCTTTTCACCATTATCTTTCCAAAAGCTTTCTATAAGTGCTGGGTTTCCTGTTTGCTTAAGAGCTTCCAAAATGGCTTTCTGGTCATTTGTCAGTGTGCTTTCATCTCTATATGGTCTCTTTTTTTGGTTTGCCTTTCTTTACATCTGACATCGTTAAGCCTTCATATTCTGTTAAATCATACATCTTTATTTCAGTAAGATTCTTTATGTTTGTCAAGAAGAAGTCATAGTGCATTTCAACAATACCTGCAGCATTTGCTTCTATCTCTGATATAAAGTTCTCCTTCAAGAGCTGATGTAGTAATGTTCCAATATTATTGAGGTTTAACGTAGAACATTCATACTTTCCACCAAGTTTATAACATACCATCCATCTCTGTTGTGAGTTTATTTTAATTTTCTCTAAGAGTCTCATGAAAACCTTACCGAAATGTTTGTGTAAGTAGTCTCTGTTTGGTTCATCTAAAGCTTCGATGTTAAAGTCAATGAGTCTATTGCCTGACTTCACATTTCTCTTCCTATTCTCTTCATCTTTCTTTAACCATCTCTCACCTTCTTTTGGTTTGTCGTCAATGGAACGAATGACATCGTTAGCTTTGCGAACTTGTTCTATAGCGCTCTTAAACATCTCTCTTCTCTGTTGTTTCAGTGTGTCGTCTCTTCTTCTTGTTTCACCAACGTTTGCATTTGTTATGTCAAACATTTCTCTTCTTACTTCATGAGGTACTGAACGTCTATGATATAAGTCAATAGCAACGTCATTTAAAGGAAATGCTCTTGCATGGACTTCGTCCTCGCCGCGTTGCGGCTTTATGAACTCATGAATTCTATCATAACTTATTGCACCATTGTAGTCTTTAATGATGTCAGCGAGTGCTTTTTTGTTTGTTGCGTAATGTTTTGCTACTTCTCTGTTAGCTTCTGTTAGAAGTTGTTTTATTTCCGAGTGTTCTAACTTAGACAACTTCCGATACATCTTTAGTAGGAAATAAAAAAATATTTTTTGAAAAAATTAGATTAGATTTTTTTTTAAGTTATTTTTCAAAATAATTTAATATTTTTATTTTAATGAAACACATGCAAGATTGCAAGTTCTTTTCATACAATGCTCTCGCTACTGCCATCAAGAATGAGTTCAATAATGCTTCAAATGTTAATGTTATCTTTAACAAGAAGTTTGTGAAAGAATCTAAGTTTGGTCAGTATGTCAGACCATTAGCTATCGTCATTGACCGCAAACGTTATACTTCACAAGAGTTAGCAGTAGTTTTGAAACAAAAGAGTTTCTTCGTGAATGTCAAAGATACTCATTATACTGTTGTTATAAAGAACTCTAATATTGACTTCTTCAGTATTGCTTTAAATCTTTCCGAACAGAAAGAATATAAGAAGGGTGAAACAAATGTGAAATATTATCCTTCATCTCTGAAGACAATAACGAACAAAGATGTTATACAGAAATTCTTACCAAAGGTTGAAGAAGCTTCTATTGACATTGACGAAGGAAGTGAAATGGTTGAAGAAATAGACCCTGAAGCTGTTTAAGCAAAAATATATTTTTGGTTAGTCTTCATATCGATATTTTACAACAATTCCCAATGTATAAACTTTTCATACGCTTTTTCATAAGCTTTATATACCTTCAGAAATTTTGCATAATCTTTAGAAGCATTTAGATATTGTTTAAATGCTTTGTATGTCTTCAGAAATTTTGCATAATCTTTTACATGTTGTTCGTTCTCTTCTTCTGTCATGAGTTCCGAATATTCTAAATTCATGTTCTTTCATATGAGATAAAATTTTATAAAAAAATAAAATTAGCTTAGATTTTTTTATTCTTCCTCTTTGAAGTTGTCGAAATATTCTGTTATTTTTTCCTTCAGTAATGTTCAGTCTTCTTTGAATGTAAGTATTGTGCAACCTTTGATGTCATAGTGTGTTTGAGGAAGAGTATTTTTGACAATTTCCTTTATTTGCTCATTCGGTGTCATTGAAATCGGTAAGTTTTCACGATAGAACCAGTTTCTGTCAGATTTATATATTTTAGCTAAGTCATAAAAGCTCTTGTTGTTTCTTCTGACTAAATGTAACATAACACATCTTTATCTTCTTCTTTCTCCAACTCTTCAGTATAATCATATACTTATAACTCTTTTCCTTTCCTTTTGGTACTGAACGCGGTATTCTTTTCTGTATGCTTTTGTCTTTGCTTCAATGACTTCATCTTTTGCTTGAAGTTTCTTTTCCATCTCTCCACGTTCTGCTTTATATAGTTCATCTAACATCATGAAAATATAACAAGCATAACGAGGTGAAGCCCACATTGCTACAGCATTTACTAAAAGTCTATGAACATAATAACCTTTCAAACCAGGAGCCAAATTCTTGCGATTTTCGTACGGAATCTCTTTTCATTCCGCAAAGCAATCATATGAGGAAATTCTTCTAAAAGTTCTTTTGTCTGTTGGTTTTCAAACCAATGATATGCTTGCTTTGTAGAACGAAGGCATTCATTATACTTTGCATTTGGTACATATCGTCTTTGACTGAACGAATGAGACGTAACTGTTTGTTATACTGTATGTACTCGTATTCTTCATTTATGGCTTCATGGACTATAACTGTTGTTGTGTTCTCTGATGTTGATTACTGTCTTTACATACAATAAAAATTAAAAAAAATAACTTATTTTCTGACTTTCACAAAAGACAAAAATAAACGCTTTACATGTATTTTTCAGCAACTTCGTCAAATAATTTTATAGCTTTATCTATCTCATCTACTTCAAACGTTTCTTTACCTTTTATGGGAGCACCATACATTTTCTCAAAAACTTCAGTAGTTCTGTTTTGCAGCTCTCATATCATTAACAAACATAACCTTGACTCTATTGACTGTACTGTCATATCTTTGAGTTATATTATATGTCCTTCCTATCTTATATCTTTTTGTGTTGAAGTCCTTCGGTTTCTGAACGATGTAAAGTAAGCCTTCACTGCAACGTTCCGTATCGAATGAACCATAAGTTATGAAGTTATATCCAACAACAGGGTCAATTCACAGAAGAATTATTGGTATAAGACTTTTGTCAATGAGATATGCTGTAGTTCCATAGAATCTTACCGATATCATGAGCTCGGGATTTCTTGTCAAAATTTTCTGAGTAGAAGCAATTCTAACCCAGTCCTTTGTTTTCTTTCCAGAAGGTGTTATAATGTCTGACAAAGAATATTTGTTGTATTTCTTACAGTATCTTACGTTTAAATCACCAATTCTAACCACTTTGGTGTCATTGTCAATCTTTCTTACTGTTTCAAACTCAATGTTTGACATTACTGTCTTTACATACAAGATAAAAAAATAAATAAAAATAAAACTAACTTTATTTTTATCTTTTATGAAAATTCATGAAATTTGGTCATTTTTCAGCAAAAATAATGTTTAGGTGAAGAGGTGAGATCTCACCTGTTTTCTCACCTGTTTTTTTCACAAGCGTTTTACATGAATTGTACGATGTATATTTGAAATCCTAAACAATTTCGTAGCTTCTATTTCTTCTTTTAGTACATCGAATGTTTTAATCATGCCGAAAGTCTCTTTATATTTCTTCTTGACGTCAGACAGAAGGAAATCTTCTGCTGTTGGATAGTTTTTATTAAGAAATGTCAACATATCCATTTTATCTTCTGCTGGCTTTTCTGCTTCTTTCTTTAAGTCTGCATAGTCGTTTCGCATTCTTTCTATCTCTTTGACTGAGTAGTTATATTTCCTCATTGCTGCTTTACATTTTGAACATTGCGGATTCATTTTTGCGTTATACATTGAAATAAAACCAGCTAGAACAACTAAGGCGTCAATGGTTTTCTTTAACTCAAAAGCTGCTGGTTTTATCTGTTCATTCCATACTTTACCTCTTCTATCTTTATCTCTTATCTGCCATACACATTTTGCAACTAATGAAACAAAGTTATCGTATGTCTTAAATTCTTCGGATTTGTAAAGGTCAGAAATATTTTTATAAACCATGTCGCAATCTTTGTCCATAACTTTATGGTTGCAATGATATCCTAGAAACTCATAGTTTACCTTTCGTATGAACTTCTTTATTTCTACCGAGTCAGTTGCTTTGACTTCAATTTCGTCAAATTCGGGAATGGTTAGTTTTTGTTGCTGAATTTCAGGTAGTTTAGGTAAATGGTCGCTGAGGTCCTGCACGTCATAAAGATATTCTTCATTTTCTTCATCCTGTGCGGTACAGTCTAAATTACTTGTTAACAGTTCTTGCTTTATCTTCTGGATTTTTGTTTCGAAAGTATATGAAGAAGGAATGAAGTTTTTCATTTCTACTAACATTGACGTAGGATTCATAACTAACGAGTTTGGTGCTGTAGTTGTTTGAATTGTTGTTGTGCCGATTGTTGAAATCATATCTTTACATACAAAATAAAAAAATAAATAAAAATAAAAATAACTTTATTTTTTCTATCTTAAGGAAATTCATGAAAATTCACGAGAAAGCTAAAGCAATCTGAGCCGCTAAGCGGCGAGGGTGAAAAAAGAGGTGAAAAAACGGGTGAGATCTCACCTCTTCACCTAAACATTATTTTTGGTGTAAATTTATGACAAAAATAAATGGTACCATTAATGATATCATGACTGTTCTCATTCATGCCTGATTTACATCTAATGAAAAAGTTTAGAAGAATTTTCTTATTCTTTCTGGCTTATTTTTGTCTTTCCAGTACTCCCGCTCTAATGGTCCCAGATGTGTTGACTTTGACTCTCTCAAGTTCTTAGATGGTATAACATCTTCAACGCCTCCTTCATATCTTACTTTATAAGTGTCATCGTTTATGTTGTAGCCAAGTATTTCAATAACCACTCCTCGCTTTGCTTCGTCAATGGTTTCAGCAAGTTTGCCATTACTACTTTCAACTAATTTGTGACGAGGGTAAAACGCAATAGAGTCGTCAGCAGCTTTTATAAGATATCCATTACCTTGCGTAGAGTCTACGATATAATAGTTTCTACTTAACCTTAAACGTTTCTTTGTCAACGGTTTGTCGTCAAGAACTACACGAACTTTTGTACCAGGAATGAGGGTAAATTGTGTTGAATTTCTGATATTTTGTGTTTGGCGTCGTTTCTTTTGTATATACTTTTCTTCTTGTTGTTGTGTCATTGAATTTGGTGTATGTCCTGTTGTAGAATGTGTTGAGGAATTATATACTTCGAGAAAATGTTTCATTGTTTCTTCGGTAAAGTCTCGCTCTTGGTTTAAATCTCTGAGCGTTCTTATGAAGCGGTTTATGATGCCGAGTATGTTATGGTTATGGTCTTCAGTAGTGTAGTGAGTTATGTTATGCTTAATGAGAAAATCTGTGATTTCATTGCTGAGGTATGCACTGTCTTGGTCTGATGTTAAAGTACTTGGGCCATGTTCTGCTACAAACTTTTGTAAAACTCTTAACACTTCACGAGTTCCTTTATTCCTCATTGGATATGCATATGCTTTACGAGTGTTAACATTAATGAAGATGATGAATGGTTTATGTCCTCCTTTTCTGCTTTGAATGAGAGTGTCAAATTGGTATGCGTCAGGAGTGTTGGAGTAAATTGGTAAAAAGTAGTCGTAAGGGTTTATTTTTGTTTGATGTACAACATTTTTGTCAAAGAATCTTTTCACTTCAGCTCTGTTAGTAAATCCCCAACTCTTTGCAGCTTCATTGAACTTCTTAAATGACCTCCATGGATGTTGTTCGAATACTTCTTTCAAGCTCATTTATGTAAAGTTAAAGATTTTATTCAAGGCTCAAGCGCGTTCAATGAACTCTATACCATGCGAATATAGTCATAAATGGTGGCATATAATCTGCACCCGAGCCTGTTGGATTGTTGTGAAAGTGTGTGAATGATTTCCTGTTGGTTCCACAGAAAATACCTGCGCTTGAATCTACTGGGTCACTTGAAATATCATATCTATTCATTCCCTGTCTATCCGAACCTGCTGCAAGATTTGTATAACCTCTTTTTGTTATTGAATGTGAATGACTACCTGTTGTGTTTGTAGTTCCTGTATGAGTGTGCGGTGGAAGGTTTGCTTCAGTAATTTTCTTCGAACCTCCTGCCGTCTTTGAATATCTAGCACAGTATAAGAATTTATCTACAATCTGCTTCCACGTACCAAAACCTAAAACTGTTTCTGGATTTGTTGAGTTCATTGACGTATAAATAGAGCCTATAGGATATAATGTTTGAAGTATTTCAGTCTTTAATGTTTGAAGCTCTGTTTTGTCTGCTTTCTTATCATATAAATCTTGAGCAGTGAATTTAACATTATTTTCATCACCCATGACATAAACATTTTTACAGCTAATTTTTTTCTTCGTTGTTATGTTTTCATTCGATGTTAAACCTTGTGGAAAGTTAGGAGGTTTACAATATAATGCATCCCCATCAGTTCCGTCAACCGTTCCTTCAATACTTTCTATAGCAACAGTTGAGAAGAAGTTATGTGTATGTTCTTTGTCTGCTTTCTTATCTAA